TAGGTCATTAAATGTGAAATGTCCAATTTTAAATCAAAAGTTTAGTTTATCATATCTCAAACAAGAAGCAGTACAATTACTCAAAGTATGTGCTCTTAAACTATTGACACAGTTTTGCCATCTTAATGGTAGCTTGTTTATGCCAGCAGCAAAGAAGCAAAGAAGCCTGGAGAGTAAGTGGCAATGAAAACACAAAAGGCGTTTTTCCACAGCTTATTGAGAATTGAATATTTTTCTTTGCAAGAAGTGATCCAAAGCCTGGAAGATGTGGTAGTCAGTTAGTGCAAGGTCTGACGTATACAGTGGATGACAGTTTCCAAGTCCAGCCTCTGTAGTTTGGGCAGCATTGTGAGACATGTGGTGGAGTGCTGTCTTGCAAGAGGATTGACCTGTCTCTATCGAGCAGTCTTGGTGTTTAATCACAAGCATCCTCATCATTTCATCCAACTGTTTGCAGTAGACATCTGCTGTAACCCACTGACCAGGTTTCATGAAGCTGTAGTGGATATATACTAGCGTTGGACCACCAAACAGACATCATTAGCTTTTTTGGATGAATATTCGGTTTTAGACTGTATTTCAGCACTTCATTTTTATCCACCCACTGTGCCAAATGCTTGCAATTGTCAAAAAGAATCTATTTTTCATCACAGGTAACAATACGGGGTAGAAGTGGTTCGCCCTATGTCACGACAGCAAAGAAAGGCAAGCTTCGAGACAATTTCTCTTCTGATGCTCGTTTAATTCATGCAGAACCCACCTGTCCAACTTCTTTACCTTGCTGATTTGTTTCAAATGGTCCAATATTGTTGGAATAATAATATTAAACCTTGCTGCTAATTCACATGTAAGTTGAGATGGATTTGCTTCCACTACAGCTTTCAGCTCATCATTATCCACCTTGGTCTCAGGTCACCCAAGTGGCTCATTTTTAAGATTAAAATCACCACAATAGAACTTCTCAAACTATCGACATACTGTGCGTTCATTAGCTACATCCTTCCCAAACACTTTGTTGATATTTTCAGCTGTCTATGATGCATTGGTTCCACAACTCATATTTGAAGATAACACAAATTTTTGATTTATCCATGGTTTTGCAAAAATTGCTCTAAAAGAAATTTGAAAGATAAACGTGCATTTGAAAGACTGAGGATATACCTTCACAACAAACATAAAATAGGAAGTGTCAAAGTGAAATATCAGAGATATCAATTGTCAAACTTAGTCCTTAAGGAAATTGGACATTTCATACTTAATAACCTTAATAACTAATTTATAGGCAACTTAAAATTCCTTTTTTCTCTTTACTAACATGGCTAACAGCATCAAAACTGACAGCAATTTCCTCGCTCCTCTGTTAATTTTCAGTGCCTGACAAGTAGCAAGAAAAAAAAAAAATAAGCCAAGACTAGATTATACTTTAAAGTCAACAAAAAGATTCTGAAACTTAGAAACAAGCTTCACATGGAATGCATACCTCAACTATGTGGTAGTTCAAGGGGATCTTGTTCTTCCCTGGATAGCTCACTAGCTGTGCAGCACTATAAAAAGTGTAATTTAAGTTTAATAAGTATGCAAAGATATGAAAAATAAAACAAGCAGTTTCAAAAGCAGTATGTTAGATACAAGAAAAATCTTTTCTGAAATGTTCTAGATTTCAGTTATTTCACTTAATGATGGCACAAATTATTTTGTCTACCATAAGGAAAATCTCTAATGCATCCAAGATTTCTTGAAAGATCAAAAGGTGTCTAAATAATAATACTAAGGAAGCATATTCAGACCTACTAACTTAAGAAGTTTTAATAGGGGAAAGCACTCACAAAAATGCTACCATATTTTTTCCACCTTAAAATATAAGCCCAAACCTTCCAAGGTCTAAGAAAATTTTATTAAACTCTTCCAAAGCTTAGGTATCTAAATTGTTAGTAATGGAGCAAAACCATTAGTATTCATTTATTCCCATACATCCAAACCAAAATAGCTTGCCATTCAAGTTCTCCAGAACATATGCCGAATACCCACATAAAAACCCCAGCCTTATACGCACATTACTATAAAGCACCCAGAAAAGTACTATTTGAGGGTAAAAAGCCTCAAGAAAGTAAAGCAAGTGCTTCTAGGGATTGGTTTTAGTAAGACAGGGAAACAGGAGGATAGAAAGATTTTCTTATACTCTGAACATATATTTTGGTCTTCCTGACTCACCAAAATTGCTTTTTCTCTCCTGTAAAAGGACCATAAAAAGAATCTTACCAAGTCTTCCTTTCCTTCCAGTGGGACTTAATGATGCAGTGAAGATTCTCTTCTATTACAAATCTTTCCACTGAATGACTTCCTGGCATAACAGGACCCTGGAAAGAAAACCAAATATATATACACATCGACCTAGACAATAGATTTCTTTCATTTATTCAACAAATATTTCAGAGACTTTTATGTTCCAGGCACTATTATTAGGTGGTAAAAGTTAGGGGATAAAAGTTCCGAACTGTTAAAAGTTCTGTATTTCAGCAAATTTCATTGTTGTGTTCACTTGCCTACAATAAAATCTGAGTGTCAGCTGTAGCGTTTCTTCTACTACATCTGATGCCATGCTACCACTGCCCACTTTACATGCCATCTCTTACATGAAACAAACTAAGTAATTTTTGTGTATTACAAGCCTTATAATGGCTTATTTTTTAAACCATGAGAATGGATTACTTCCATCAATAAACATAGAGAGAAAATTCTTTTCAAATACCATATAGATCTAAAAAATCATGTATGCACTGAAAGATATCCATAAACATTAAGAAAAGGTTAATAAATATTACCTGTATGATATTAATTTTTTCTTAACTAATTCATAGCAAATATTTTCAAAGAGCATACATTAGACACTTAATGACTTTGGGATGATTTTACTTTAATCTTTATAATTTCTACGTATTTTAAAACATTTTTTGTAAAGGCCAGAACAAAGGAAAAAACCGAATCCACTTCATTTTCAGGGTAACAAGTATTTTATATATTTATACTCTCTGGCAAAGGATGGATAGGCACATTACAGAGGCAACACCAATTAAATACAAACAGTACCGAAGGAACAAATTTTGAGGTCTCATTCTAGTTTCCCTTGTATAAATGAATACTTAATCACAAAGACTTTACCAGTCTTAAATGTAAACCAGATTTTCAGTTAGATATACCTGTGTAGACCATTATATCATTTTGACTAAAAGCATTTTATTATATATGAAATATAGAAAAGTGGGCAGCAAGTTGATAATTTTGCATATGTAACTGATTATCATAACTTTTTACTCTGAAATAGATAACACAGTTAGTATATGGCTAAACCATACTAAATTCCCACTGGTCATAAATACTTTACCATAGGACAGAAAAGATAGGAGAAAGAAACTCAAATTTGACTTTAGGTGGTAACATTGGTTCTTAAGCCAGGAGTTCTTAACTGGGAGCAATTTTGCCCCAAAGGGGACATTTGGCAATCTCTAGAGACATTTTTGGTTATCACAACCGAGGCAGGGGGAGCACTACTAGAATCTAGAGGGTAGAGGCTAGGGATGCTGCTAAGCATCTCACAATACATAGGACAGACCCCTGCAATGAAAAATTATCCACTCCAAAATGTCACTTGTGCTAAGAGGATGAGAAACCCTGCTCCATGGTGACTGGGATATACTAAGCAGAAGGTATTGTACTTTAGCCAG